AATCCATAACACTCCCTGGTTGAGGTGGGTAAGACTCCCTGTCTGAAACCCTGGAGAGCTACTGCCAGTCAGAACTGACAATATTGATCTAGATGGACCCATGGTCCAACTTGATGTAAGGTGGCTTCCCATGTTCCTCTGTCTATGCCTCCAACCCAACTGGGTAATTTAGAAAGAAGATGCTAAGGGCAGCCATGGCCAACCTGGTGCCCTCTATATATTTTGCACTACACTTCCAATCACCCCAGACCATTGGCCATGCTGACCAGGACTGTCAAGTGTTGTAGACCAAAATATCTAGCATACATCAGGTTGAGGAACACTGGTTTAGGGCATAGCTGTCACCCGTCCCTTATTTGGCGGGAAAGTCCCTTATCCCAGCGCTGTGTACCGCTGCTGTCCCTTATTGATGATGTCCCTTAAATTTCCCGGATTTCAAAGGAAGCAGCTCCTCTCCCACCCTCCCTGCCGGCCAGGGAGAAGGGAGGCTCCAACTGTGTTGCTTGGCTGCGTTGCTCACCCAATAAGGAGTCTAAGAACGACTGGGGGGGTGGAGCTTGGATTCCTTGTGCCAATCAAATCGGCCATGTTGCTTGGGGACTCGCCTTTGCTCAGCGCTTCCCAGCGGAGAGGTGACAGTGGTTTTCCTTGCTGCATCCCCTTTGCCGGGTTGCTGCGCTGTGGGAACCACTGCTTGAGGCTTCGTTTGGCTGCTGGCTGGGCTTTCTGCCTTTGGCTTGGAGGGGCTCAGAAGTTGAACATACCTGTGCTTGGAAAATCCCTTATTTTGGCTGCTGATCCCTTATTTTCGAGGCTGCTGGTCCCTTATTTTCAAATCTGTAAGTTGCCAGCTATGGTTTAGGGTTGTCTTGCAGGCAGCTTGTACTCATTGGAACTCTATCTGTGCACCCTTTCTCCTTTCATTGACGCCATGGCCAATATTACATTTTTTCGACTTGTCATGGTGCTCAGAGATTCATCTTGGAATTGCTGAGGCCAAGGGTGGTTCCCTGTACCATACGCCACCCGTCAGACTTGGCAAGTCTTTTAGCTAGTCTCTGTGCAAGAAAGGGGCTTCCTGACTGAAATGATAAGATGGGGCTAAGCAGATGGGGGCAACCTCCAAACTCAACAGCTTCTTTTGTCTATGAGACAAAAGAAATAGGACACAATCTGGAGCGTACTTAAGAGAGAACAACACTTTGGCCCCCTTGAAGTACTGATGTCAGGATCCCACCCAACCAGAATAAACCCTAGGGAGACCTCTTCTGAACGTGTCATAGATCCCAATGAAAACCTCAGTACTACTGCTATAGTCCTGAGGCACCTCATCTCATGAACTTCTCAAATGGCCCTCTTTCTCTGACGACATCCCAAGTCCTGCCTCAGATCTCAAGTTCTCCTCTTTCACTCTCTGGACCTCAAGAATAAAGCCTTCAGTGGTCCAGGTAGGAAGTCCAGCATTGGTACAGAAGTTCTTGTTTGGCTGCCAAAAAGCTTCCTTACCAGGAGTTCCCTTGAGGGAAGGGAGGGCAGGAAGGGAGGAAGTCGGAGAAGATTGAGCTGTGAGCAATGATGAACAGGAAGCAGAGGGGCTGGCAGTGAAGGTAAAAGGTAAAGGTAAAGGTACCCCTGCCCGTACGGGCCAGTCGTGACCGACTCTGGGGTTGCGCGCCCATCTCGCTTAAGAGGCTGGGGGCCAGCGCTGTCCGGAGACACTTCCAGGTCACGTGGCCAGCGTGATGAAGCTGCTCTGGCGAGCCTGCACCAACGCAGCACACGGAAACGCCGTTTACCTTCCCGCTATAAAGCGGTACCTATTTATCTACTTGCACTTAAGAGTGCTTTCGAACTGCTAGGTGGGCAGGAGCTGGGACCGAACGATGGGAGCTCACCCCGCCGCAGGGATTCAAACCGCCGACCATATGATCGGCAAGTCCTAAGCGCTGAGGTTTTACCCACAGCGCCACCCGCATCCCGGGCAGTGAAGGTATAAGCATCTTAATCTCTGTTTGCCTCTTGCTGGGATTACAGATCCCTGTTTGAGCTCCAAGCCCATTTCCCTTTGAAACTTCCTTGCTTCCAATACTAGGCACTGGTCATGGCCAACTAGTGATGGGCGTCAAAGGGCAGACTTAGGTTTCACCCTGATGGGATCCCAGAGTGATCCTTTTCCTTTCTCCTGTAAACTACAGTAGGAGGCAAAACCCACCTGCCATAATTGTACGGCCTGGGACAAACCTGACAAGAAACTCTGGGGCCGCCTATATCATGACTTTGTGCAGAAGGTCCCAGAATCATCTACAGGCAGGGCTGGGAGAGACCCCAATCTAAGATGAACTACAAGTCAGGCTCATTATGAGGCAGCTTCTTGTGTTCCTACGTACAGAGGTAAGGATGGGAGGAGAAGTTCTGGTTGGTCCATATTTTAATGCAAACCTACCTAATTCACAGTACCCAAAACAAACTGCAAAATGAAGCGCAGCTGTCCTTCAAAATTCTCACTGATCCGAATTCTGTGATGGAGTTCGTCAAACTTCCAAAAATGTGTTCAAGAACGCATGCATTTATTATGGGTAAATCTACATAAAAATTCACATGCTGGTGAGCATAACATGCAATATTAAGGGAAATTGCTTGCAAAAGCATGTATATTAGGCAGAAATGTGTGTCCATTAAGAAGAGATGTGGCAGACGAATCTGATTTGAGGACCTTTGAAAAAACAAATATTTGTGGAAATGTGCCAAACTCAATTTGAGATTGGAGAAAGGAGAGACTGAAATTAACCGATTCGCCCACCTCTGTAGGGAGACCCATTGCATGCCCATACACACTGGGAGCCTTGCAATATCTTCCCTCTGCACACACGTATACCCTCTGCACACACGTGTACCCTTGACAGGCATTTCCCCAGTTTCCAAGTAACCATAGCCTGTGCATCTTCCTTCCCGTCTCCCCAGCCATCACATTAAAGCACTTCTAAGCAGCCTTTGGTGGCAGCAACTCAATCCCAGGCAGGCCTTTGGAAGCGGAGCCCTCCGCCGGGAGAGACAGATTGCTGTCAGGGTGTAGCAAGTCACTGAAGCAGACAGATGGGGTGATGGTTTGTTTCCTACCTCAGCATGCTGGCCAGGGCTGAGCTGCCGTTTGCAATGGTAGCACTTCAGACAAAGGGGATGGTAGTCTTTGCCTAGAGAACGCTTCCGCTCAGCTGTTAAGAGAGGGAAAAGGTATGAGTAATTATACTCCAAGCACCTCATTAATGGAGGAGCATATGTGGAATGCAGCTTTGATCCACGGAATTACTTGCCAAAGTAATTTCAGAATGAAAGGAGTTGTAGAATCTTTTCATGCAGGAACAATTTGCCATTTCCCCCTCCTGTTTTAACACCTTAGTTTTTGCAACATGAATCTTTTTTGAAGTTTGCTCAAACTTTACATATTGGATATTTCATACCTTGCCAGGACAATAAAGGAGCTTTCATCTTCACTTCAATCGCGTGTTGTTTTTCTTTCATATTTTGCCATCTTTTGCACACACAAAAATAATAATATAGTTTACCCCAGGTCACAAACTGTTTAGTTTATATGATTTGTGTTTTCCAATTAGAGGGCGCATAAAGCCTTAGAGATGTTCAAGGAAATTCTTCTGAGTGCTCAAGCAAGGGCACCATTTTCTTTGTAGGCCGAAAACTTTGGTCTTTTTGGTATGGGAGGAAAGCAAAAATGAAAAGAGGATTGGCAGTTTTTTACAATTTTTTTTTTTTTTTTGCAGCGACACAAGTGTGTTTTATTTTTCTAGTTAGTTAAATTATTACATATACAGTGGTACCTCGGGATGTGAACGGGATCTGTTCCAGAGCCCCGTTCGCATCCCGAACGGAACGCAAGACGCGACAGCGCACATGCGCGGGTTGTGTTTCGCCACTTCTGCGCATGCGCGTGATGTCATTTTGAGCGTCTGCGCATGCGCGAGTGGCGAAACCCGGAAATAACGTGCACCGTTACTTCCGGGTTGCCACAGAGCACATTCAACTCGAGGTATGACTGTACAGGGTGAGTCCTTTAAAAGAGGGCCCATGGATACCGAGTACACATGTTCCACGGGGCCTCTTTTAAAAGACTCACCCTGTATAACCTGCCTTTCCTCCGAAGTAGGCATGAATAGCCCCCTTTTTTATTCTCACAACAACCCTGTGAGGTAGGAGAGAGAATGACCTGGTGCTGAGAGAGAATGACCTGGTTGTGATTCAGCTGAGATATGCACAAACCTTTTCTTCATGCATGGATCCCATTCACTCCTCCACTTTCACATCCCACAGTTAGACCAGGGAGTGTCTAACTAACCATTGTTTCCCATTGTGTTCAGACTAGGATGTTATGGCTCTCTGCTTCAGAACAAGCCATGCTCTGAACGCAACATCATATCATACTTTAAGCTCCTGACTTGTACCAAAGCTGAGTCCAGAACCAAAAGCCAATGCCATCGCCTTGTCTCCCACTTGGTGTAGCAGGATCCAGCCAGGACACAAAGCACACTACAGTGGTACCTCGGTTTACAAACTGAATCCATTCCGGAAGTCTGTTCTTAAACCAAAACCGTTCTTAAACTGAGGCGCGCTTTCCCTAATGAGGCCTCCCGCTGCCGGTGCCCTTCCACTGTTCGGCTTCTGTTTGTAGACCGAGGTAAAGTTCGCAAACCGGGACACTACTTCCGGTTTTGCAGAGTTCGTAAACCGAATAGTTCGTAAACAGGGCTGTTCTTAAACCAAGGTACCACTGTATTAAGATCAGAAGCAGAACATGTGCAGGGATGCTGAGCCATACTTCCACTCTGCATGTCCTGATCATGCCACTGCTTATTTCTCCATCAACAATTGAACTTCTTAGGCTAAGGGTGCAATCCTAACCCTACTTACCTGGTTACAGGTAGATAGCCATGTTGGTCTGCCGTAGTCGAAACAAAATAAAAAAATTCCTTCCAGTAGCACCTTAGAGACCAACTAAGTTTGTTATTGGTATGAGCTTTCGTGTGCATGCACACTTCTTCAGACACTTCTTCAGATACACTTCTGTTTCAGTGTATCTGAAGAAGTGTGCATGCACACGAAAGCTCATACCAATAACAAACTTAGTTGGTCTCTAAGGTGCTACTGGAAGGATTTTTTTATTTTGTTTCGCCTATTTACCTGGGAGTAACTTCTGAGTAGGCATAGGTCTGCTTACCTACTTCCAAGAGGCAGTAGCATTGCCTCCCACCAGCCGACGGAAGCTGCCTGGCTGGTGGAATCCTGGCTGGCAATGGGATAACTCCCCTTCCAGCAGCCAGGAAGATTAAATTCTGCCTTACTGCCTAACTGGCCAATCACAGGGGGTTGTGCTCCTTCTGGGGTAGTTTGTCCACCATCCTGCCTGCAATGGTGGCTACACCCTGGAATCAGCTTTGGAGGCCTGTGCAGGCCTGGTCATCCTCTTATATACCTGCTGGGATTGACAAGGCATCCGACCCTCACCTGAATCTCATAGCTTTCCTGTAGCTGCCTCTGATTAGTTATCATTTAACTTGGGCAAAATAATTAGCATCACACATCATGTGCATGGAACTTTTCTTTATTAGTGCCACTTTGTTTTGTACGATTCCTTGCAAATGAAGGAAAACAACTTTCCTGCTTGTATATGTTGATAATATAATTTTGGTTACTGAGAACAAACAAGATTGTACAAAAACAAAATTGGGTGCAGGCCTGGCCAGGACATAGGCGTCCTGGCTGTGATGAAGGTGACCTGTGTGTGCGCGCTTGCTTGCTTGCTTGATTAACAGCTGTTGGGAACTTCAAGGTCCCTGCTCTCCCTTTTTATGGTCTATGTACTGGACCTGGAGACTCCAATAGAGAACATTCCATGTCAAGAAGGAGGGCAAGTGGGCACCCTATCAAATGACAGAGCAGGAGTTACATAGAGCAGGGCCTTTTCACGGGTGGTGCCCATTGAATGCCTCACTCTTCCCAGACCTGCTCTCTTTTGGCCTGTATTTTGGAGCTTTATAATTTAGGAAGACTTTGTAAGAACTGGTTGACAAGTCTTATCAGTTGCTGACATATGAGCGGATTTTATTTGCTGCTATTCTGGGCTTCTGGTGCACCAGGGTTTACACCAGTGTAATAGAGTTGGCCAGGATGCCAGAAGGGATACAATTTACAAGCTTTCTCCATTATCTGCACAGCAGGGGGTGTTCAGTCAACAGTGCAAAGGCTGAGCTGAAGCATTCCCTGCTGGTTACCTGCTTTCAGCAATAGGGGGCGCTGTTTGGTAGTACCCAATTGGTTAGCTGTCAGATTCTAGAGCTCCCTATTGGTGGCTCTTAGGTAAATCACAAAATACAGAGTCCATTCATAAAACACAGTGTTCATTCATAAAGCAGTAACATAAATTTCCATTGCTACATATTGGGTGTATATTTCAGCTGTTGAACATACAAAGTTTATGGCCATGCTGTAGTGTAGTGCTTATGTGACTGTGAATAAAATGTGGCTGGGCTCATTGTCTCGGGGTTTGGGGGGGGGGAAGAGGTGACAAAACTGATTTCCAATAAGTGCCACCCTTTATTTCCACAACAAGTCCTTGAGTCTGTACTCTGAATGGTGACACCAGGGACCTAGAAGGTGCACGACTTGTCAGTCCAACCCCTGCACACTCTCATCAGGGCTGACCTTAAGGCAATTTGAGCAATTGGGCAATTGGCCCAAAGGGGTCCCTGCACCAGGACAATCTGGATGGATTTTATTTATATCTATAAGATTTTGCAGACTTTAGCTGTGAACTGGGGCCCTACAAAAAAAAACAATCAAGTTGCGCCCCACTGCTTCAAATTGGGCCTTACTGGGTCTAATAGTTGCTGGGCCTGAGTTGCCCTGCCTTTGCATGAAGTCTTGGGTTTTCAATTTTGGGAGAGGGGAGACTGCGGCACTGGGGAGCGGGCAAGCTGGTGAGGCCCCCTAGACTTAGAGGCCCAAGTTGTTCTGCCATCGCATGAAGTCTTGGGTTTGCAATTTTGGGAGAGGGGAGACTGTGGCACTGAGGAGAGGTCAGGCTGGTGAGACCCCCTAGACGTAGAGGCTCAAGTTGCCCTGGCCTCACATGAAGTCTTGGGTTTGCAATTTTGGGAGTTGTGGTACCTGGCCACACAATTAGAATTGTGCTGTAAGCCATCCAAGGGTCTTAAAAAGCCAGAATCACCCCTGATGTTTTGCATTCATCCAGGCACAGGGACCTGTGGTCTTTGAGATGCTGTTAGACTGCAACTCCCATGAGCCTCGGCCAGCGTGGCCTATGGTCAGGAATGATGGCAGTTGCAATCCAACCAGGGCCTTTTCAGTAGTGGCGCCCGCCCTGTGGAACACCCTCCCATCAGATATCAAGGAAATAAACAGCTATCTGACTTTCAGACGACACCTGAATGCAGCCCTGTATAGGGAAGCTTTTAATGTTTCATGTCTTATTGTGTTTTTGTTGGAAGCCATCCAGAGTGGCTGGGGCAGCCCAGTCAGATGGGTGGCATACTGATATTATTGCTGTTGTTGTTGTTAGTCACAAGTTCCCCATCACAGCATAAGTCCATAACAAGCAACAAATCTTTACTAATAGAGACATTCCGTCCTGACCCCTTCTGCTCACATGCTATCACTCTCAAAAAAAAGTGGAAGGAGATTTGTACTAACACGAACTCATCTAATTTCCTCTGACACAATATTTAAAAATTCATGTATGTAGCTGCAGGATGTGATGCTGCCGCGACAGAAATATAGGTTAGGCATGGGGGTTGTAAAGGTTCACAGTGAAAATCCCCACCTCTTTAAGCCAGGCAGGATCAGGTCCGAACTTCTGCTCCTAGAGCAACACCCGCACCCCAATTCTCCTTTCAACTTTCATAGGACTGTACCCCAAGGCAGAGGAAACCGGTGCAAGTTCACATTTTGCTTTTTGCTTGCTTGTAGTCATGAGGCAAACTAAGCACACTGCTTACATACAAAGGAGCCTCATATCAAAAAAGATCAGTGCTATTTCAGGTTTAGGAAGGGAATTGAGGGTAGGCAGGTTTAAAAGGAAAACATGATTATTATTCATTTAACCTTGCTATACATTGAACAGGCAGACATTCAGGCTAAAACCTTAACTGGGAGTCTGTGTGAAGAGCAGACCAGATCATGGCAGGGAAGGGACTAAAAGACCATTTTGTACTAAAGGCAGTTAAGGAGTGGAGATAGAAATGTAATAAATAAATACCGGCTAAGTAAAGAAATATGGGAAAACTTCTAAATAATCAAATATTCATTGTTGTAGGATCTACACTTTGGAATTCCATTCCCATTGATATGCTATATTGTTTTCAGCGCCAGCTAAAATGTATTTTGTTTAAGCAAGCCTAGCCATACATGTAAATGTGACGTGGTTTAATATGTAATTTCATTATATAATGCATGTTTTAAAACTGCTGTTTTCATTTTGAACATTTTTTTAAGGTGAGCTTGTTTTTAGCATCTGATTCTCTCAGTAAAGTTAATGTATATTTTATGGTTCATGTAAACTGCTTAGAAATTTTGATGATTAGGCCATATGTAAAACCTTTTAAGTAAATAAAATTGCTAAAGATAACATGGTGCTGAGACTTGAGGTTCACCAGTGTAAGGGGGAAGACGGATACACAATACACTTGTGAGCTTTGTCTGCCTCAGCTATCAACGGGTTCTGCACATACTCTGGACCATAGCCAACATATTAAAATATATATTGGAAACCTGCTGCAAAATATAAGCAAGCTCTCATCCAAAATTACTTTTCATTTAACAGTTGAAAACTGAAAAAAAGAGAGACAGGTAAAAGAAGCTCTATCGGTTCCCAATCCAGATTATTTTTATCTTTCATCTCATTCCTTCCCTTGGTATGTACCTTCTGTGATTAATAATGGAGCCATCTGATCCTGGAAAATAAATCTGTCAGCGGTTTTGTCCCATCACCTTCCAACAGGATGTGCTGGGACTTATTAAATGCACAACACATCAGTCACACTCTAAAAACACCACACTCCCCTTCGTTAAGCTCAATTGCCGGGGATGCTACCAAAGGCCTCCACACTCAGCACAGTACGTCCTCGCCGCCTTAGGGAAAAGGCTGTTCTGGAACAAACTGACTGTTTCGCTGCCCTTGCTGAGGTGAAGCATTAGTAAGCAGGTGAACACATCCCTCAAAGGAAGTCCATTCGCATCCAGAGTCTGTAGAGGGCTCCACTTCCTATCAAATACAAATCCGACGCCGAAAACAGTGCAGTGTCTCTATTCAGCTGTGCCCACAAACTCCACTGTCTACCTCGCTTCTCCTAAACCACCCTCAGGTCCAGTTCAAGGACATTTTGCAGCCGGGTGTGGGGGAAAAACAAAGGGAACGCACACGTACACACCCTCTCCCCGCCAACAAGTCAAGTTGCCATAGTACCCAAGGCCAGCCGAGTTATTTTGGCACCCGAGGCAGAAAATCCCCCAACCTCCTCTCTTCCCAAGAGTACAAATACAAGGAGAATAAACGACATAGGTAACAATTTGCTGCCGTTTTCTGAACACCTAAAATCAGCCACCTGAGAATGCTCTGGCCCTTCTCCCAGCAAAAGAAGCAAGAAGCTGACCTGGGATCCTAACTGAATTTTCCAATTTGCTTCTAACCACAGGTGCTGCGTTGCCCCCAAGATGGGGGCAGGACGTCACACGTCGCATGTGTGTCACATCGTGTGCCTTCACACATGTCTTCCAATGTCCTGCAGGCTGGACCGGCACGGCCTAGCAGAAAAGTGTACTGGCCTGGCCTGCGCGGTGTCGAGAGTTGCTGTGCAGTCCAGCGTAACCTCATGGCAGGCCACACCACTCGCTCAGCATCTCCCAACCCCTCGCAGGCCAGGCCAGCCTTCTGTCGATGCCGTGCCACACTTCACTTGGCGGTTCTGCGTCTTCTGCTCCCTCACTAATTCTTAGCAGGGGGCTCAGCCCCCTGAATATTGAGGGGGCTGATGACACCTCTGCCCCCTAGAGTTGGTGCACCTGGTTCCGACCTGTTGAGGAGGAGGAGGAGGAGGAGGAGGAGGAGGAGGAA